GGGGGGGGGTTTCGACCTGAAAAATCAGGGGTTAGGATTTGCACCCGATCGAAAGAAACCTTGCTATCGCAAGAGTAACTCCAGCTAGCTTCGCTAGCTTTCGTGAAAAGTCATTTTGGTGATTCGCTGCAGTTTGGCTTTGTGAGCTGTAAAAAACCAAGTACACTCCCTGCCTCACATACGTGAAGAGCCCACCCCCACGGCTAAATGCCTGGCGTTTCTCCACAGTCCAACTCCGTTTGCATTGACTGGGGAGAGTCAAGAGCTGCTGAATCTGCTCATCGAGTCAAACATGCTTTCGCCCAAAATCGCCAGTAAGGCAATGTGGAAGGAGAACATCTGAAGACGTGGCCTGCATCTTAACGGTCCACAAAGGGTAATCTTCTCAAACCAAAATCGCGGCTCATTTGGAGCCTTGAAGGATTGGAAGGGATACATTGGTGACAGGAAAGCACCATTAATAAACAGGTTTTCTTTGTGTTGCTGCAAGCCTTCCAACTTCAGCATTGATCAATAAGGCCCTGATGTTGACGAGCTTGCTCTTGGCCTGGTGTTGATCCACTACATCCATTATGATCGCACTGGCTGTCTCTCCATGTTTGCTATTTCAACAAACCTTCTCTACCCGGAGAAAACCGCCGAGGCTTCGGCATCAAGCCACTCCTTGGCCTTCACATATTGCAAATGGTCGTGGATGAGAGCCAATGGAGTGTTGGGGTAGATTGCGATCACGTAGTTGTCCTCCCAGAAAACAGCTGAAAAAAGCATAGCCTCAACTGAGTACGCCGAGTACGTCATGGACGTTTGGTACCCCAATGCAGCAACCGTCAGTGCTTCCTTTCACTCAAAACAACGGGTCCTCCCTCTGCGGCCGCGGTAGCCTGGGAAGCAAAGAGATGTTTCACATGAGCGTTGTGCTTGCGACAATATCTGTGGTTCCCTTGTTTATCCTTGCTTGCAAGTCTGACTCTCGGGCTTAAGTATGCCAACACTGCATATGGTATAGAAGTTGAAAAGAAAAGTCATATCAATTCGGCATCTGGTCAGAGTCTGCCCAGCATTTTAGGAGTGAGGCATGATGTCGAACTCAGGCCGCATGGTTCTTGCAAGCCTCCGCCACACACTTCTTGTGTACCGGGGAGAATCAGCTAATGACAATTGAATTATATGGAATTATATTACGGCCTAAAGACACTACTTACCAGAAAACAAACTGACACCGGCTACAAGCATCACTTGCATCTTTACCTTATCAAATGCATGGGTATGTTTAAAAGAAATAGAACTAAATCATATATAGGATTCCGAATTGATTTTGAGACAACAACCATGGGTAGCCAACCACCTACCGCCTAAACCTAAAGGGATCGACCCACACCAAAAAGTTTATGCCAAAATAGGAGCCAATCTAGTGCTGCTAGAAGTGCGACTAGACTCCCAAGGCTTCATCTGCATCTAGAGCTGACACGTATGACAGTTGGCAACACTAGACTCTGATAAAGACCTGCTCCCGCCTCCTGCTTGATTGAGTTTGCACCTGAAAGGCTGAATCCTTAGCACAATGTCATCTGATCTATGAACCTTGGTGGTTTTTTCCTGGGTGTTCTCGTTGTTCTTCTTTTGCCCGTTGCCCTCACTCTTACTTAGATATACAATTAAGGGCACCTACTAAATTAAGTAGGGCTAGCCGCTGCTGCTACCTACTGGAAACAGCTCACGCTTCGTCAAGGAAGCTCCCCCCGCCTGAGGGTGTGGGGGAGCTTCCTTGAAGAAGTACTCGCACTATTCATTTGGTTCCTAAATAAACAAGAAACATACAGACAGGGCCTGCTGGAAACCAGGCACCGGGCCCAATATGCTCTTCGCTGATCTACCCTCAGTTGGAACGTGATCATATGACTTCCGGTGGACAGAAAGGTGCCAAGATTGTGACGTACTGTTGCCACCAGCATACTCATTTGGTGTCGGGGATGCAATTGGCAGTATGTCCTTGCAACAATCTCAGGAGTTTAATCCACTGGGGCAGCACAAGTTGAATCCATTTGAGATGCATGGCTCCTGTGAACCAAATGCTGCACTGGACCTTGTCCGCTGGCTGTAGCAGTACCTGTCTCGATCCGTTTGACAAGGTATTTTTGGGACCTGGTTTGGCTTCAGACATAAGTATTGATACTACTTGTATAACTGAAAGGCATCTGTCCACACAAAAGAAGTGAATGTGGCACATATCGCCAGTGACACCATCACCGTCATTGCACCAGGCCCTTGGCTGGGTCTTCAATCTACACAACGCAGGAGCAACTCTTGATCAGGAGAATATCGAGAGCTTATAATGCTTGCAACTTGCAATGAGCTGAGTCCAAGACTTTTTACTTCGCTGTTGTTCTATGATCACAGGGCCTGATCATAACACACCCAGCGGCTGTTCATGAACAGTGTGAATTGCAAAATTGAAAGTTAGTGGAAAGCTGACCTACGATCTGGTTGTACGTCAGCACTCGACTCCACCTTAGCTACGAAGCTGGAAGGAAGCCTTCCTTCCTGGGATCGAATAGGTGAAGCATGCAGAAACACAAACGCACTCCGTGTTTACATTTCTGGGCCATCCTGCTCAGTTTTGTTCTGATACCTGGGCATAACAAACGGGATATAGAAGCTACCTCCGCTTAATTACAGTAGTTTCCAATTGGAAGAGAACAAGGCTGGATGTCTCCTGTCGAGGGGCGGCTGTCCTAGGTAGTCCGTCTGCGCAAAAAGTCTTGGCCTCGCTCGTGTTGCGAGAGAAGCGATCAGAATTCCTGGGACAAGTGGCCTACAGTATATATATATATATACTCCGGGGAAAAAACAACATAGACCAGAACTCAATTTCAAGTGCGCTTTAACATGGACCACTGGAAACGGTGACTCCCTGGGGAAACGGTATTAGCGGTGTTTTTTGCAGTTTCCGGACGCCCACTAACATGGACCATTCCTACTCTCGGTCTATAATCGAGTCTGACACTAACATGGACCAACTGCAATCTGACTGTACACAAACGCAGGCTAACATAGACCAAGCCGGTAGAGGTCAACATAGCCCGGTGGAGGCTAAAATGGACCGTGCCACATACCTCTAGGGCCTACCTGGTGCATCATTGTTTTTTCAACGTGTTCTTTTTTGAAGTTGTTCATTTTTCACAGATTGCTTAAAACAGACTCTAAACATCAAAGGAAGACAGGAAATGAATGAACTCGACCAGGAAACTATTCAAAACTTAATGGGTTTCACATGTGTTTTGAAATTTTTCATTTTTCACAGATTGCTTCAAACAGACTCCAAACATCAATGGAAGAAAGGAACTGAAGGAATATGACCAGCCAAATAACCAATAACTAAAAATTAACTAGTTAGTTCTGCTATTTTTCTCCTCTCCCCCTGTCTCTGTGTCTATTCCCTTAACGGGGAGACACAGGGAGTACGGTGGAAGGTCTGAAAGGGTTCACCGGTTTACCTTAACCCGGCGGCTTCAATGGGCACAGCCGAAAGGCCAACAGGTTCTGCAAGGAAGCTCCGGGGGAACCGTTCCTGGGTTCCCTTAACGGGTCCTGCGCTCTCAGGGACCGACCTCTCAGGCCTCACCGTTCCCTGTGTCTCCCACGTTAAGGGAATAGACACAGAGACAGGGGGAGAGGAGAAAAATAGCAGAACTAACTAGTTAATGTTTATTTTTTAGACAGTTTGCTGGTCAAATTCCTTCATTTCCTGTCTTTCCTTTATGCTTGAAGACATTTCTTAATAGGCTTTTTCCACAAGCCGGAGTCAGGCTTGTGGCTAACATGGACCATTCCCACCCTCGCTACTCTCAGTCCATGGCGCGGCCTGACATTAAGTTTTACAGATATCGAGTGAGGCATGTGGTTAACATAGACCACTTCCACTCTCAGTCCCTGGTCCTCACTATGATCGAGTCTGACACTAACATGGACCAACTGCAATCTGACTATAAACTGAACGCAGGCTAACATAGATCGCGCCGGTAGAGGTCAACAGAGCCCGGTGGAGGCTAACATAGCCCACCATGGCACATCGGAATTTGGTCTAGGTTAGTCTCAACGATGTCCGTTCCGAAACTAGACCAACATACGCCCCAAAAGTTTTTTGTGTGAAAATGATAGTTTTCACCGGTGTATATATGTTGTTTTTTGTTTTTGTTACCTGTTAGTTTCATGAAACATCAAGACCAAAAGCCAACCGACAAGGCGTAACCTCCGAGGCCCTCCGTCCAAAGGAAGCGGGTGAAGCCCAGCTTGAGGAGTTGCTCGTAGGCCACGCAGCAGATCCGGAGGGTGCGAAAACGAGCGTCACCCAAGAGGTCCTTGTTCCAACTCACCCTCAGCCACTGCCTGCGTGTGGGGGATATGTTACACGCGCGGTATCAAGTGGGCCAGGAGGCGCTGCATTGGCCTCCAGGCGCCGTTGAGTTGGTTCCAGCTCCTTGATGCGTCCAGGTTTCCAGTGACGTCATTTGTCCACCGTGATGACCGGAGGAGGGGCAAAAAGTGGCCGGTTGAGCCAGCGTTGCCGATGTTCCTCGCCCCCCTACAAGCGGGCATTGTAAGTATCTGTGGGCCTACCCACGCATGCCAGTTGAGTCAGTAGAAGGTATTCCTGCGTAGTCTCCACCTGGTCAACTGCGCAAGGCAAGACAGTCCGACGGATTCGAGGCAGGGAGTGGGCATCACGCCCACCACCGGCCCATCCGCTGGGTCTGGTGGGAGAGTATGGCGAAGGAAATGCCCACTAGGAAGAAGGACCGCCTCCGCCTCATTGCCTGTGACCTTCAGGAGCAAGGCCACGAGGGTCTCACCATCCTGTTGGGCCGGAGTGATGCCCCAGAAAGTGTAAAGCGCCTGCGCCGAATGGGGCGCTTGTAGGTACGCTCTCGTGTAGGGCGTCTGCAGGCTGAAGGACCGGCGGCCGGCGGTCCCTATAGCAAACGCAGGCTCCAGGGTGAAGGCCCAGCCTGCCGGTGTTTCAGAGCCAAAGGCGTCCGCACCGGGGGCAGGGCCCAGGCCAGGGTGTGAGGAGATGGCTGCGGTCGGTCAAATGATAGCGTATGCGCCATGAAAAAGCGCAGAAACAACATGAAAGCAAAGGCAATCAAGAAAGTTCTCCGAAAAACCAGCCCCCGACAGAACATGGTCAAGTCACACAGAGTCACAAGAAAACTGAAAGGACATCGAACAAAACCTGAACAATCGCACCTATTTTCAGCTGTCATACTGCGCCAAAAGAATGAGGCCCGAAGGCAGGCCCCTGCTTTCAGAGCCAAAGGCGTCTGGCAGAGGGGTCCCCTCCGACCAATGAGCAAGGAGGGCAAGACTGATGTACCCTTAGAAAATGCCTGCAGTGGGTCAGGAAGCAACTTCCCCATCTGCCTGTAGACCATCCGCCACTGCTCCTTGCTTTTGGGGATCGCCGCGTCAATCTTGACCAGGAAGTCAATCGTCTCCCGCTTCGCCTTCTGGTGGTCTTCGAACTTGATCATGATGGGCATGTAGTTCCAGATATTCCACAGCTCCTTCAAAGTGTAGGAGCTGCCAAACCTCCCCAGCAATGTGGGGAGGTGAGGTAGAGACACGCCGGCGCCGGTGGTACTCCTTGGGTGAAGCGGAGGGCCCAATGTATTATAGATCCCCACAATCGTGCTGGGGTCCGGTCTCGTGCCATTCCAGACCTGAGTGTCCAGGCCCTTGTCAGAACGGCCCTGATCGCACCCCCCATGGGGCCTTCTCCTCGGCGCGCCTCGCACCCGTGGGCATTGTGGCCCAGTCCGGGATCTTGAGAGGCCCGGTCACTTTCACTTTCTGCCATGCCCCATTGCGGCGCCGGACTTCTCCCTGACGCCGTCTTGCATCATCAAACCTTCATCTCGCCCGAACCCGGTTCCGTGGCGCCGAGGAGGTCTTTGGCGACGCGGCGGAGCCGGCGGGGGCGCCGCGGGCGGAATGGGTGGACCGGCAGATCGGGCACTTCTTCCATTGCCGGGACCTGGCCGTGTTGCAATCCGGGCAGAAACGGTTGCCCTTCCGTTGGTTGGTCGCTCAGATGCGGGGCTGGCGCAGCAAGGCCTCCTGCTGGGCCTGGCTCTTGGCCACAAAGGTGGTCTCCAAGACGCGCTCCACCAACGTTTGGGTGAGCAGTTGAAGATACCTTTTGATCACTCACTGCCACACCATCCACAGAACAACTCATTGGCAAAGAGGAACAACCAGTTCATTTCGACTACCACCACTACTTGTCTATTGGAAGCTGGCTTGCCACCATGCTTTTGGAATCACGCAGTAGAATGTGTTAGCCACTGGCTGAACGTCAAATGTGGAGAAGATGGGAAGAGCCCATGGCTCAAGCTAAACGGCAAAAAAGAGTTTGATGGTGAGAAGGTACCTTTTGGTGCAAAGTTAAGTAGCCAAGGAAGAGTACTTCAGAAGCACAAATTTGACCCTAAAGCAATTCTCGGAGTACCTGGGCTGGCATGGTCACTCGAGGAGCCAGCGAGGGCGTCAGCCTCGCGACCAGAATCTCTTTCTCCCGTTCTTCCACCTCAGTAGGGTCCAGAGTGAACGAAGTCACCGTTGGAGCTTCATCCAGCAACTCCCAATCGAAGATGCCTGAATGGTAGCGGACATGGCTACAAAGAGTCAAAGAAAAATCACGGGAGTGAGGAGTTCAAATTTTGAGTACCCAGGCTTGAGCCAAAATGGCCTGGCATTTTGGCTAGTGAAATCTGTTCATGAAACATAACCTGCTTTGTGCAGGCACCAAGCACGTACTAATTTAACAAGTTGTTCCAAAAAATGAGAATACAATTGTCCTTTTGTTTCATCCGCAATGCTGTCCAAGCACATCCCCCTGGGCTCGAAACAGAATTGAAGACTCCAACCTGTCGTTCAGAATCTACACGATAAAAAATTAACAAATCATGGGATCATTGGAGCTTGGTTCGATCTCAGTCGAAATCTTAGAGTCCAACCATTCCCAAATTCCAGCTCTGTCGTTCATATCGTCCGCACCATCGGACAAGTGTGTTCGAAGGCCTGACCTCGGGAAGCACACATCGTACGAAAACCTCTCTCAAAAAACAATTCATGAAGCTTCAGGAGAAACTATGTTTGTGCTGGAGGAGTCCTGTCAGTCTTGGGGCAATGCGCGCTTTGGTTTCCGGAACAGCACCACAAACTGTTTGAACAATGAGATTACTTTAGTTCTTCGAGTGGTCCACCATGCGGGATGATTCGGAAGAAGGCAGGGCAACCTTTTGCGGCATCAAGACTGGTGTGCATTGACACATCATCTAGCATAAACCCTGGGAAATTTTCTAGAATGTGTTCTGCCGCCCTTTGGACTTTGGGGCATGTGTTCTGACAATTGTCCGGCTGTGAAGTGTGACATGTGTTCTGTGGCATTTGCTTCTGACATGCGCTCTCGCATCACATCTAACATGTGTTGCGACGCATGGTCTGACATTTGTTTTGATATGTGTTCTGACATTTGTTTTGTCATGTATTCTGGCTATCAAATCTGCCATTTGTTCCGACACATGTTCTGACATGCTGTGACCTGTTTTCTGTTGTGTGTTTCAACCTGTGTTTTGAATTTGGCACGTAGCCTGACATTTTTTGGCTTCTGCAATTCTTTTTGGCATGCATTCTGACATTCGTCTGACAAGCGTTCCGACATTTGTTCTGATATGTGTCCTGACATGTCTCCTGGCATGTGCTCTGACATCTGTTCTGACATTCGTGCTGGCATCAAGTGCGGCATGCGTTCGGACATGTGCTCCAAATTGTCCTTCCGGATCATGACACATGTCCTGACATTCCGGCACTCCGTCTGGCACTTGTCCATTCACTCTGACAGTTTATCTGGCATTTTACCCGGCATTCTATCTGACATGTTTGCTGGCATTCTATCTGGCATATTAACTAACATCACTCTACTTGGCGCTATTCTTGACATTCTTTCTGGCATTCATTGCTGCAACCCACTGACCACGCAATCATCAGGTTCAACTGCACTGCCTCGCACCTTCCATTCAAATCAGTGAAAAATCTGCGGGAACAGCTTGGCTCTAATAATTGTCACAATTGTTTGTTGCAGAACAACATGTAAGAAACATAATTGTAACGGGAATTGCGGCAAAAGAAGCCTGTTCAAAGAAATCCTTGGAAGAAAGTGGCTAGGTATATTGAATTGTGTACAGGAGCACAGAAATGATGGATGCTGGAATGAAAAGTCCACGCAACCCCGACCCATCCAAACCTGATCCAGCATAGGCTATGTCATGTGTATTACTGTATACAAACTACTGGTATCCCCTGCCAAAAGGCTCCTGTACTCAAAGCAGTCACATGAAACGATGTTTTGCTCGCATCCAGCCGGGAAGCTCAATCATGTAGGTGTTGGTAATGTCTTCATGCAGGATAACCTCAGCGTGGATCGCACAATCAATGAAGTCTGTCGAGAAATAGTCAACAGGCACTCTTTCACTCACTGACCTAATTTACCTGTTGCCAGCAGTGGTAGAGGACTAACCTTGAAGAACAACTTCTTTTTTCCCCTTGGGACGTCTATCTATACATTCTTCTGAAACTGAGTTCTGGACGGCTATAGAGAACAGAAGGAAGAAAATCAGGTTTCCAGGCAATGACCTGAAACAAGGGCTAGATTCTTCGCACTTTCTGCTTGTCAGTGTTGCGGACGTGGTTTCGTCCCGACTCTCTACAGTTTTCAAACCCTCCCTTTGGTGGTGCAGAGTACAACACAGGCCGCGGCAGGCAACCATAGAATCTCTCCTGACACACAATCGAATTGAGACTGGATGTCAATGGTACTTGATGATGTCCATGTGAGGGTGCAATGGAGATCTATATAGTTGGACCCCAGGATAAGCTAAAATAGACTACCAAGCCCAATCACTGGTTCGTAGAGGTTACAGTAACTATCGAAAAACAAACCCACATGTTGGATGCTCAGCATGGTCTCCTGTTGCGTGGACACCACGCGCTGCATCACATCTCGTGGCACTGCGTCTGGATCCTCCAAAAGTCGATGCAGGTGTTAAAGATGTGTCGAATGAACAGTGTGTACGTGAACGGGAATGGTTCGGTTCGGGTTCGGCTCACATAGCTACCTTATGTTGCCTTTGCATGCCTTTGCATTGCTTTGCAGGACTTCTGTCCATTAGCAAAAGAACTACTCCGACTCCACTTGGATATTACCTTTGCTCGCGACTAGCCGTCCTTTCTACCAAGCAATTCCCGGGCAACGCCTGCAAGACTTGCTTCACTGCAAGGCTGTCTGACTTGCATGAAAATGTTCTGCGATTGGAGCTGCATACAAATGGTCCAAGTGTTCTCTCTGATCTGAACATGGAGCAGAGAATCACTCTTGCAATCCACGTCTAGGCCTCGGTAGCTCTGCGCAGCCTGATAGATGCGAGGGACATTGCTCTCGCGACCTAGCACCGAGAACTCGCGTTGTGCAGGTGCGGTGCTCAAAGTGCTATGTTTGAAGTGCTCAGAAACATCTAGATTGCTTTTGACACGTGTATTCTCGTGGGTTTTCTCTCAGCATCCCACTCAGCAATCCCAGACCCTGGCCGGTGCTCAGGTCCAAGACATCTGTGCCATCTAAACAGCACCGGTTGTGGGTCAGAAGGGAGATAGTCATACAGTCATACACGCTTCACAGGAACTCTACTAAAACCCTCAAGTAGGGCAAGAACAGCCATCCCCCACATATATAAAACATAGTTCATTTGATGCGGCAAAGTTCAATGCTGAGGGCTTTCGCTTTGATCCATTTTCCCATGTTTCATTCAGCCCCAACACCCTGCCTCAGCGGTAGCATTGCTCCGTGAGTCAGTAACTTGATACAAGCGCTTAGTCTCGCAATGCGGCAAAACACTTCTTTATTCAACACCCCTTGTTATATACTAGAAATAGAAAGCGATGCCCTTTGCTCCTAGTAGCGTCCTTGTTCCTAGTAGAGATGCCTTTTTTTCTCGTAGTAGCTTCTTGATCTCCTTGCTCCCACCACTTCAACTTCATTGTATATCAAAGCGCCTGACTTTCACACATCAACATCGTGCGGAAGTTTTGTTGCATCATCTACTCGTCTTCTTGCCCTGTTCTGATCTCATCGCCTGGGAAGAGAAAAAAAACACCAAGCCCATGGCAGCTGCCGCCTTCAACATTGAACCTGGCATTGCTAGTTTTCGTTGCACGGGGAGTCGAGCATGTACAAGCACGCAGGAACATGGGATCTCCGTTACTTGACATGGACCCTCTGCCCTCAGCATCTTCTTTGGATCCGGAAAATCCTCAAAATAATCTGAGTTGACATGAGCTTCCCCGTTGACTGCAGCCCAAACACCTTCGTTACTCCTTTCTGCTGTGCACTATCTCACTCACTAGGATCCTGTGGCGAAGTCTGAAGCAAAAAGCCACGGGTCGATCCGTTTCATCGAAATGAGACCGAGGAAGTAAGACCATCGATTTCCCTTTTTGACGGGGTGTCCATGTCCAAACCACCAGAAGGAAAGATAGGCCGACCGCACCCAACCACTATGTTCATCTGTGTTCTATCTTGCAAGCCGTCCTGGAGCCACAAATGAACATTGTCGTTGTCACGGTACCACGTCCCACCCCCAAGCGCACGTAGCAGAGCCATCACTTTCCAGTGCCATCACACTTTGACTCCTCGCATTCCCAGCTCTGGAATTTTGGGAGAAATGAAGAAGAATCCGAATCCAATATATATATATATATCCTCTATTCATAAGGTTTCTGACTATCCAATGAAGAAGACTCTAATGAAGAGCTTGCTTCACATCAGCTTCTGACTATCAAAGGACCCTAAATGATCCGAAGTGGCAAAAACGAGATGAAACAATTCCAAAAGCTTCTCCTCTACAGCCGGCCGTCCACCGAGAGTGCTCCCAGCAAGACGCCCGGGCTCTGCTGGAGCCATGGAACCGACCGAATTCTGGTTAGAAATGCCCTTGTTACTAGAAAGCGATGCCCTTTGCTCCTAGTAGCTTCTTGTTCCTAGTAGTAAGTCCAGGAGCCCCTAGTAGCGTCCTTGCTCCTAGTAGCGATGCCAGGAGCCCCTAGTAGCTTCTTGTTCCTAGTAGTAA